GTTCTTTAGCCCATCTAAGCCGATTTTTCTTTTGCAATGGAGTTAATAGTGGCTTTTCTTTGACCTATAAACAAGTTGTGCAACTTTAGTGTCTTTACTTCAGTTTTTTTATAAGAAAACTTACCTTGCAAGTGCTAAATCCCAGTTTGTGGGCCTCTCTATGAGTTGTGGACTTAATTGTAAATAATTGGCACGCCTGTCTTTCACGATTATTCTTCTTAATGCTCTTCGGTCGGCATTTGTGATATTGCTTTTTTTCACATATCGTGGCTTAGTATTAACTGAACCAGTTACGTTATATCTTCTAACAATATTTCTCACACTGTACCGCGATAAGTCTAACAAAGTTGTAATTTCTGAGTTTGATTTCCCAGAATTAAAAAATTTAATTATCAGTAACCGAATTTTCTCACTAATAACCTTTCCCTCTACCCATTTTGAAAACCTTAACCACCCAAAACTATTTCAAACATATTCTGACAGCTGTGATTAATAAAAACAATTGTCATGGCTTTTATTTTTCACAGCCACCTATGCGTTATAGACTTATTTTGCATTGAAATGAAAATAGGTTGATATGCTGTAATTGCAACATGTGTTATTTTTATGCTGCAAATTTGATTAGGGAGTGATAAAGTTGGTGTTTTCTATTACATATTATCAAAATATTCATTGTTAACAACACCCTGCTACATTTTTATTATTTGTGTTTGATAAGAAAAAAACTAAGATTTCAATAGTTGGGCCAACTGAAGTGGGAAGGGGCTCGTATATCCAGAGCCCTCTTCATTCTACCAATTATTAGGCTATTTTACCTAAGGTGGCCAATCAATTTCAAAAATGGATCTGAAACATACTAGCGCCATCTATGTGGCAGTAGGAGAACACAGAAATGAATTTAGGAACCTACTTTGAAAGTTATAGCGTTTGATTCTGCTATTGTCTCATAGATGGCGATAAGATCTTCAAACCTTTTTTGACGTCTCTCTGCAACCGATTTTAGTTAGATATCTTCAGAAGGGATATTTTATACTCGGGTACCGAAAAGAAAGAGAGCGAATGTATTGCACGACACTGTTGGCGTGGCGACCCATTGAATTGACAAATTCGGAGAGCCCTATTCAAGGCCTCACTGGCTAGTGGAGTGCGCTGCTCTCTTTTTTTTCGGTATTCGAGTATAATAAATGCCGTTAGATACTCAATTAAAATAGGCTTCAAATAATTCAAACAAAGATTGATGACCCTAGCGCCATCTATAGGAGTAGCAGAAACAAATACTCTGAACTTTTTAAAGTAGATTTATAAATTGATTTATATGCTTTGAAACTCATAGATGCTGCTGGTATACTTGCAAATACCCTTTTGTGATCCATTTTTGTACCCATCGAAGACATGACACTTAAGTTGAAAATGCACAAATCTTCTTCAAAAGCGGGTGGGATAAAATGTCTGGCTGCTTATTCGCTGGAGATTTCCAGTAAACCATAGAGTGAACAGTCAGAAAGTCACTCTCCGTGACTCCATTCTTATTTTATTTATTCAATTGCAATTGCACAAAAAAGCACGATATCTCTACACGTGTTATGCCTCGTTATACTTATCACCGCTGAATTATACTATTGCGTACCCAGCTGTTTGATGAATGTATAATTACAAATACAAATTTTATTTTTAAATGTCCAGGTAATAATCTAGAATATTTCGTACCAAAAAACTATATTTATAAATTTTCTACGTATTGGCAAGGTAGTTTGATAAAATTTTACAGAATTAAGTTTGTTAGATGTCTACTCTACTAGTCTCTGTAATATAAAAATACCCATCACTTTTTCTTTTTGATATACTGAAGTATCCGCGAAGGTAGAGATCTAAAGAGTGGCAGGGCTATAAATTAAAAAAAACGACAAAATGTCAACTGGTGACTAACTAGGCTGGTGTGCAAATAGTTCATTCCGCGCTTGCTAGAGTGAGCATGAAGTGAACGGCAGCTAGTTCCAAGTTTACTTCTTGAAGGGAAACCTACATAATGTCATAAAAAACCTATATATGTATAATGTCAAAAAACCACCATGATGTCACTTTTCAAAGTGCGGCTACAATAGGAAGTCAAATAACACCACTTGTTACTTGATTTTTGAGTTGCCAAAGGTAAGCAGAACGCAGAACGAGAAAAAATCCTCCCTTGATTAGAAAATCTCGACATCCTGGGAGCAAGGAAGCGATCGCACCGGCCAGTTCTGGATATACGAAGTTCGACAGGTTAGAATGGGAGGCAGAAGCCTAGCGGGTCGGTCCGGTAGGCTCAATGCGCGGCAGAGTCATGGAGGAAGAGGTGGCACTACTGCTAATACCTTACTAAGAACAACTTTAACCTAAGCTGAACCTTAAATTCCATGTTTCTGTTGCATCAGATATACTTAAAACTTGAGCGGAAATTAAACAGACAGTAATCTAAACCATTGTCTGTCGAGTTCGAATATAGAAGAATTGTTTCAAGTTCTTCAATAAGTTCTGAGAAGCTAGCGTTCAGAAAATCTCGCGTAATGATAATATTTTGGAGACGAGTCGGGTCTTATCGAATTTTATTACTGCGAGAAAAACGTCGTAGAAACATACTTGGTGATGTATGAAAAAATTTGTAGATTTTGTTTTTTAATAAATAGTTATGTGCATGTTTTGATGAAAGCGTTTTGAGTTACATGGTAGCCATCACTTTAAAGGTAAAATGTACAATAAATAAACTAATGGTTACCTGCGCGCCGCGACTCAAAGGGTATGAAATTCTAGAATAAATATACCACGCTAATGCCATAAAGTGCATAGAATGTCGTACCTCTATACACTTTTTGTAAGAGCCCTGTACACTTTTTTTTCGGCAAAGCCCAATCACACAATAACTAATATGGTTCTAAATAGCATGTTAGATGTTTTTGTGATAGCATTTTATCGTCAAAACATCATTTATCAGGTCAAAGAAATTAGAAAAATTGCCAATTTAAAGATCATCCGTACCTCAAATCATTCTTACAGCAGATTACTAACACATCTTGAAAACTAAATCCGCATGGTGGCAGCCCAAATACCACATGCTCTAAGCATGCTTCATCAGTTTTTGAAATTCTCCCCTAGTAATGATAATTCATAATTATTACTCTTCAGAGAGAACAACCATGTCCATGTGATGCAAAGTCTTCAGATTTAATGATATAGGAAAGAAATTACTTTCAATTAATCTAATTAGAAATATCAAGTGATTAAATCACTGTGTTTGTCTTTTTATTCATATAACTTTGGTGTGAAACCTCCACAGAACGCCCTGTTGTCAGATGTAACTTATCTGAGCTACGATTCCACCAATTGGAGCTTGGGCATTAGATTTAGACTATTGTTTAGATTTTTCTTTGGAATACATTTGACAAGCTGCTTCACGATCTATCGGTGATTTTGAGTACCACATATAGCTTCTTGTACAGCTCTACCATCCATTACAACCGAATAACTAAAATGACGTCCAAGTAGGTGCACTTCCCAAGCAACGTCTTATCAGTTCATGAAGAATTATGTTCAGTACAAACTAGACCTTCTGAGAAAAAAGTCATTCAAACAGGTCCATACAATTAGGCCATAAACATTCTGTCTCTATCCTACCGATAGAAATCTATGATGTGCGAAATATGTCTAATAAATATACTACATTAAAAAATTATGACAAACAAGTTTTTCCCTCTAAAAAACGAAGTTTTCAGCGATTTTTATTCTTTTCGTTTTCGGCCTGTTTCTCTGCCGCCACTGGACAGATTTTCAAAAAACTATAAATCTTGTTCGGTACTTCTCAAGTAATAGACGGTTATACGATTAGCGACAGACAGAGATATACCGACAGACAGGCAGACAGAACGACGGAAATGAGTGACATGGTTTTTTCATGATGTACGAGTACATGTCATATGACATACAAAAAACGAGAAATCTCATTTTTGAAAATTTTCGCGATTATAATATTCCCCAGTATTCGTGGGAAGTGAAAATTCGTTAAAAAAAAGAACCTCATGTTTATATTTAGGACACGTCACGGCTTCGTCGAAACAGAACAAGTTGATGGTATCGGCACTCAGCACATATTTCCCATAACAGTACATCGCCGGCCATTGGCAATCTCCGGCGTTTTTAAGTCACTAGATTATTGGGTACTGGCCGAGACCGAGAATCGCCGCACTGCAGGCAATGCATTGCCATTCCACCCGATTACCATAATTTCCCACACAATGATCAATGCTAATCTGTGCGTTTAACTGTACATCTTATTTTTAACTGTTCCATGTTGAACGAGGTATTAGACCGGGAGCCTAGTTCTTGAAATCGAGGAAAAAGAATAACAAATAGCAAGCGGGCATAGTTTTAGAGAACAGCTGGACGCTGACATGTACTACCCTGTTGCTTAACGTATCTGAATCTGCAGATCGCTCCAACATCATGGATATCCTACTGTAGTGAAGAACGAACGCTCTGGTAAGTGCCTCTTTGTTAGTCTGGATCCAGGAGCACATTCAACAGCAAACAGACCACCTGGAAAGGTGATTCTTTTAATTTTTTAGTAGACTCTTCGGTCTCCTGATCAGTCGCCGTGCGCTGTGCGGTTCGATCCCGTCCCAAGAGAAATTTTTTCTGTTGGCTATCAATGTGGTGATTGTCCGTAGTGGTAGACGGTTTCTGACTGTCGAATGCGGAGGGTACCACCCGGCGGATATCGTAGGCGGGGCCAATATGTGTGCATGTTGCATACACATGTGTTCCCTCGCACAGAGTCCGTGTGGCGTCCCCTCTTTCGCATGTTTTCTCCTATAGCACCACGGTACCGCATGGGTGTTTAGGCATTCGTGGTAGTTGGAGTATAAAAAAATATCACCTTTTGAGACTTTTTTTGTGGCATTTTCGGAAAAATCATATTTCTAGGTTTTCCATGTCATCAGATTTTATAATCAAATTACGTTCATCTTTAGAGACGATAATGATGGATGGATCAGTGCTGGACCTCCTGCTGTTTATCCAGAGAGTAATGCGGTGAACGAATTCATCAACGAAGTGTTAATAAATGCAGGTCCTCGAAAACCCTACATTTTATTGGCTACTACTACTCCATTCTTATCAAGAACTGATCAACAGTAGTACTGAACACGTTCTAATAATAAATAGCTCTAAAACGGCGTCTTAGTTGTTTTTCGCTTTAGAGTTACAGAACAGCAAGGAACCCCATTCCGGAATCCTCGCAACAAATGAAAAAACGAGTACACATTTTGGAATAAAAATTAGTAGTTTGGAAAAACTGTTAAAACTGAGTTTTTCGTTAGTCATTGATGTGAATGAAAATGTTCAATCTCCGTATTTTCCTATCCAATAAATGAAACCACAACCACCAGACCACAAATTGCTTGAATGACCTTAAGTTTTGTCTGGTAGCTGTTTGAAGTACATACGAGCATTTGACAAAATCCTATTAGATTGTTTTTCTAATCATCTTTGTGAAAGTCCACAGGATAAACGTCAAAATTTACCCGACTCAAAAGTGGTACATCTTTTCTGTTCGAGTATTTTTACTTCCTACGCCACTGTCAATGAAGTATCATCATAATCGCGAAAATTTCCAAATCGAGATATTATACTCTTTTGGATGTTACATGGCAAAAGCAAACCACTCATTTCCGTGTGTCTGTCTGTCTGTCCGCTAATCCTTGACCCCTCTATAACTTGAAAAGTACCGCTTAGATTTTGGATGAAAATTTCATACAATGTTAGCACTACTAAGGAAGAAAATGCTTGTAGTTTTTGAAATCAGTTCGGTGGCGGCAGAGCTAGGGGTAAAAACACGAAAAAAAAACGCACTAACTCCGTTTTTTTGACGTTCCAGAAGCTCCTAACTCGTTTCAGAAAAAAAATTTAGGGGTGAAAAATTGGGGAGATTGGGGGGTTGTAAAAGGTGTTAGTATATTTATACGCTTCCAACCCCAGGAATGTTTCGCACCTATTAGCCATATTTCATACATCATCGATTTTTGCCGTGCATTTGCCTTTGAACGAATGATAGAGGATGTTTTCAATAAGCGCGGTGGTTCTGATCTCTGTGTTCACCGACAGTGTGACGGTCTAGTTGACTTATGTCCATTCTGCAGCGGTGTCGCGATGGGCGATGCCACGTCTGACGCGGCGTGCGATCAGATATAGGAAGGGACAACGTTGCCAAATGTACAGTACTACCGGTAGCGCAGTGACCTGTGTGAGTAACTTGATCTGTTTAATTTCTCTGTTGTACACGCTCATAACAAACTTTATTCTCAGAGGGTTAAGCTTGTGAACATTCTTGACTCTTTTTTGACAATTCTTTTTATCATCCAGAGCGAAAATGTTTCTAGCAAGAAGAAAGTTGAGCGTATTCGAGTTAAAAAAGCTTGAGGTAATGGTAAAACATAAATACTCCTAGTAACTCAGACAAAAACTCACTGAGGACCTAACGAATCGATGAAAAAAGGGCTTTTGAAAATAATCTATACCTACAATTTGTTGCATCACCAAACAGGTTAAGGGCTAGCAATCGATTGCTCATATTTGATTCACAATGGCCGTTTCATAAAATGTTCAGGTTCAAATATGAAATACGAACGTTATAACCGTAATTGCCATAGAGCATGCAACTCGGCACTGAATGTTAACCAGTCAACAAAGATCAATACTATAGGTATCTGTTGATACAAATGAAGCTTCCTCGCATACCAATGGCAATGACATGAATAGTATGCGAGAATCGTTACGAATATAAGCATTGTTTAACGTATTCTCCAGTAAAATGCCCAGTCAATTGTACTTGAATCACAGTAATTCCATTAACGTGATAAAAATAGTGTCCATTTTTCTTTAAACAAACCCGCTTTTTCAAGCATGTCATCAACATTCTTAGGAAAGATCAACCCTTAGTTTCGCTTGAAATTATTCTTAATATTACGAATTCTTAGGACTTTTTAATAATAATAATAATATTAATAATGTTTATGTCACAAAGTAAGATAAACATTAAATATTGTGTACAATAAACATAAAGTACAAAAAACAGTTTGCACTTGTGTTTGGGTTTGTTAAAAATAAAAAACTAAAAGTACAGTCATTGTTTGAAAACGTAAATACTATAACATATAATTTGGTGAATTGAATTCTTATGGGGATGTCAGGAAAAATATTCAGACATTTATAACTACTAACTAAGTAAGGATTTCAGTGTAAGTAAAAGATTATTGATTTTGATAATGATTTTTCATATTTACAATTTCCTGGATGGAGCATCTTGGTTTTTGTAAAATCCATTTTTTGAGTTCTTTTTAAATGATCTTATTGATGTAATTGCTTTTAATGACTCTGGTATGAAGTTATAGAATTTCGGTCCCAAGGAAAACAAAGATTATGTAATGGTTTTTGATGTTTGTGGGATGCACACTGAATTTTGATTGAATCTTGTTCGGTAGTTATGAATGGTACGGTTCAAGTATTTCGAATATTTAATATAATGTATTAGACCACAATAAAAATAAATTTGTCTGCAATCTAATAGCTGAGCCTCCATATATAGAGAATGACTTGAATAAGTAATTTCCTTATGGAGGATCAATTTTAGAATTAATTTTTGGTTTATATCAATTTTTTTGTAATTATTTATTATTACCCGCCAAGCCAAAATGACATGACAGAAAAACTGGGAATGCTGGTGTCTAAAGATCGATACTTATGTAGTTGTAAGCATAAGAGGGTGGAATATGTTGATGTCACAAGCCTGTAGTTTGTGTAGGTTAAAGCAGGGTTCGCAGGGTAATTAGGTTAGGAAGATTCAAATTATCTTTTTATACTAAACTAAATCGTGTAATCCCGCGAAGGGTTCATTTTTATGCGGGTAAAAAGCACTTATTTTGGTAGAATTGCGAAATACTCTAGTTTTGGAGTTTCCTTTTCCAGTTTTGCAACTCAACTAAATAATAGATTTTGATCTAAGTTAAGACAAGCCTAGTCAAAGTAATAAGGTACGTACGATTTGAATAGGATGGACAAAAAGAGGCACAGTCAATACTGGGAAATGGCAACTCCAAACCTTCAAACCCAAGGTTGCTTCATTAATTGACTAGACATCCCAGGATCAAGTGTGCATCAGAGTTAACTGCAACACATACAACGCTGACTGCATTTCTTTCTTTCGGAACTTACACTACCGCTCAAAAGTTTTGGGACAGCAGATTTTTTGAGGGAAATCAAACCAAATCAAACAATAGAATGTGATTAACCAAAAAAATTATAAAGGAACTATTTTCCACTGGAACTCAGTTAGTTGGTAACGTATTTCTATCAAAATTTACTTTAAATTCGTGATTCGTCGAAATGTCCGACGTATCAAATTTTCAAGAATAGTTGGTGATAAGTATACCCACGCTTCCTGCACTAGTAGGCTCTTGTTGCTTCACCTGTCTGTCCAATTCATCCCACTAATGGTCAATAGGAGACAAATCTGGGGACTATGAAGGCCATGTCGTGATTTTCATTGCACCAAGTTCTTGCTGCTGGTCCAAATAATTACGGCATAGTCGAGTTGAATGCTCAGGCTCGTTGTCTTGAGGGAATAGCGTGGTTTTCCAATATTTCCAGATTCTGCTCTTTTCGCATTATACCCTCAATACGAACCAAATCTCCTGTTCGATTTCCAGCAAAACAGCCCCAAACCATTACACTCCCACCTCCATGTTTAACAGTGGAAGTAAAATCATTATGTTTTCGAGTCCATGCTAACCGGTTGAGTTTATGTATAGATCGCAGGTTAGCACTTTGTAAGCGGCGTTTTACAGTGGACACGGACACAGGGTATTCCCTCGTTCTGTTCAATCTGTGTGTGAGTTCAAGCGAAGTTAAATATCATTTTCGCTATTTGTTATTACTATAATCCAATCCTCAGGAACAGTTGTAACTCTGCGTCTTCCAGGGCGTGGACGATCTACGACACTGCCCTGTTTCTCTCTTTTCTTCAAAATTTAAGACACAGTGTTCCGTCCCAAATGCAGCTTTTCAGCAATCGCTCGAATTGGCAATCTCTCATCACGTAACGTACATACTGCACCTCGTTTTTCAAGAGAAACGTTACCCCGTCTTTACCATTATCCATTATTTTGAAAAAATCTGACCCTAGCACATCGACTAGTAGTTTATACTAAACTACGTACAATTTTTACTTTGTTTCATTGATACCCAGAATGTTTGTGTATCACATTACACCGAACATAATACATACATGTAGTACAAAAAAAAGTAAGCAGCGGAAGGAAATCGGCCGATTTATGACTGCAATGAACTAATAAAATATCGGCATCTTTAAAGATGTTTACATTTATTCCCTTTTAAGTGGTGTTTCACTGATTCTTATACATCTTTAGCTTGAGTAGTCGTATTATAGATGGTAATAGTCAATCAATGTCTATAAGCCCTATTTATTTTAAGTTTTATTGAAAAATAAATATTTGAGCGGTAGTGTATGTGAAATGATGATCCACTTTTTCACTCTTTTACCTTGGTAATTACCTGGATAGCCATTCTGTATATTATATATAAAGTGGGTAATGCAATGCATATTCATAATACAGTTTTCTAATTGTGTGGTCTTTGCCACTTCATGTTTTTTATCATTCATTATAATCTCATTGTATAAAAACAGTTATAAGATCTATACTTATGTATTAGTGTAAAAAATAATTTAGTGATCGTATAAACTAATCTACTTGGGTAATTTTTATTCGAATGTTGATCCATTAACATAGTGATTTGTGAACCATAGAAAAAAACACAATAGGGATATGCTTATCTCTTAGTAATCCATGGTTGGTAAAAGTTTACTTTGATATTATAGTTTCTAGTGCAAAATTATTTCAAATTTAAAAACAGGTCAAGTAGATTAACTCCGTCGTATTTCCTATTTTAACCGTACTTGATATCTCCATAAACAGTTTTACAGACCACCTTGTCACTGGACTCAGGGGAATGATGATGAACATCGGAGTTTTTTTAATGTTCATTTGGCAAAACTTACACTGTAGTATCACTGAAATTTTGTAAGAATAAAACGGAAATTCAAACTGAAAAAATTCAAACGATGCTTGGTGCAATTTTGAAGTTTTTGTTTTTGACTATGCCATAAGCATAATTCAATTATATTTCCTATAAATAAAAAATGGCTTCAAGTAAGTTGACTCTTGTACAAGTGGTACAAGTAAGCCCTTCAAAGAAAAAGATTCAGCTAAGAACATCTATAATAAATATTAAATGACCTTCCTCCTCCCCCTGACAACAGGACTTCCTGCAGGCCCACATGATCGTTGCAATGACCGATTTCGCGTGAATGACGATATTAGCCTTCACCATGCACAGTGCACACAGCAGTGCGGAAACGATTGCCGACTGTGACGTACAACCACCGTCGATGCATTTGTCTTTCGGGGGCCCACGACTGTTGGAGGGGTGTCCCGAAAAAAGTGTGCAATATTCTACCCGCGGTTTCTAGAGCTTAAAATAGGAAGAAAAGTTTATATAAACAGAGGTCGACAAATGTCACCTAAGGGCGCTACGGCCTTTTAAAGGTATATAAACAGAGGTCAAAAAACGTCTCCTGAGGGCGCTACGGTCTTTTAAAAGGGCTCCCTGAAGATGGTTTTTCCTTAATATTTCCGAAACCTGTTGAGATAAAGACATAAAATTTGGTATTCTAGCCTAGTTTTTTATGCTGGATTTAAAAATACTAAAAATTTTAGACAGTTTTGTTTGGAAGCGTATGTAACAGGGTTCTTTGAGCGCCAAACTTTTTGTGTGATTCAATTTTTGAATTTGAAAATTTAGGGGTTTTAAAAAAGGTACTTTTATTGAATATCGATAAGTTGTGCCATTTTTGAATAAAATCAAACTAAAAAATTTGTCACATGATAGGAAATGTACTGCGAATTTAAATGAATTGTTGAATAATTAGCCATGGCAACGAAAAACGAATGTAATAATTGGTAAATATTACATAAATACATACATACATTTTTCTTCTTATTTCATTTGCAGCCTGATGGATTCTTTGAAGTAAATCTTGAGTATTTACTTCAGTCGAGTAAACTAGGTCTTTTAATGACCCTCAAAAATAGAAATCCAATGGATTTCGGTCAGGTGAACGTGGCGGCCACGCTATAGGACCTCCTCGGCCTAACCACCTGTCTGGAAAATTGACAGTCAACCAATTTCGAACATTGCGTCCAAAATGTGCAGGGGCGCCATAATGTTGAAAACATAATAATAATAATAATAATAATAATGACTTTATTCAAAAGATGATCATAGTATGGCGAAGTTTAGCCAGGGCTACTCTACCTCTTAACCATACTACAACCAGACATTACAAAACATTAGCATAACAACATGAATCAGTAGCTGTAACGAATGCATTAAAAAATATAATATGAACATATACAAAGAGAA